TATCCTACAATAAATTCAGATTTGAGAATTAGATAGATTTGATATTTCTTTTAAATTAGAGAAGTTGCAGCAGTGCCTAATTTCACAAGTTTGCAAGACAATGATACTATTTCATACCTACACCTTCACACACACCAAAAACACCCTATTTACCATTAATTTGTAACACAAGAGGCATACTAGACCATAGAATGAGATGATGAAAGGATTGGAGAAAATAAGGAAGAGGTATGTTCTTACCTTCAAGAATTCCTTTTCTTTCCCATTTTTTTTTCTATTGACGAGCACCAAGCTAAAGCGAATGTGCATATGTTGGTACCGATTAATAGGTAATTTTTATTGGATGCACCGAATTCACTACACATTAACATTTCGCACTTGTCGATCATTGGTGCTAGTCTATATTTAAACATATATGCATATTAATCCACGTACATACATTTTTCCTGCAGGGGAATAGGGGAATATGAGGTGAGGACAGCACTGCATGGGATGGGGGGTATAGGGGATGTACTCCACGGTTTAGGGGAAGATAAGGGATGGACCTTTAAACCAGATGTTGTTTGGGAGGCGATAGGGGATGGACTCCACTGATACAGCTCATATGCTTGTCAGATAATGTGTTGATATAGCTCATATGCTTATCTTTGGAAGTGTTGATACAGCTCATATGCTTATCATTGGAAGCGTTGATATAGCTAATATGCATATCTGTTGAACTGTGGATACAGCTTGTATGCTTATCTGTGAGATGTTGATACAACTAGTATGTTTATCTATTGTAAAAATGGGAAAGGTTTAATATGAGTCACTGTCTCATATAAGTGGTTGGCCAGGTTCTGAGCCATTGATGTAAATTGTGAAATTGATAAGAAATCGAAATTGAAATGAAACATGAACATGGTGGTCATGAAAATGGAAATGGGTTATGAATTGGTTTATGAAAATTGAACATTTATCAATTGCCAATGTCTTAGTCATTGCTCATACTGTGTTTAGCATATCTCTACTGGGCGTTGGCTCACCCTTTATGGGACATTACTTTCAGGTACAGGTAGTATGCCACCTCCAAGGACATAGCTGGGACGATGATGAGAGTTGAAGACTCCTTTTGCTTATTTTGTTTGTATTACATGTATATCATGCCAAGGGCTTATTTTGTATAGAGTTAGTACTCTTCTTTTGTGTAACCAAGTGTTGACTTGGAAAGCTGTAAGCCCATAGGGCATTTGCTTTTGTTGTTAACATGTAATACAGTGTAAGAATTACTCTGATGAATAGAAATGGTTGATTTCTTTTATATAAATGCATGTTTAAAGTAATGGGTTTTATGTATTATTTTGAGGGCGTTACAGGAACCAACCACAAACACCCAAAACAATCTCACCTAAGTAAAAACTAACCAAGACTAATACAAACCAATTAACCCAAAACTAGCAAACAACAATACATCAGGACAACAACAATAATAACAGCTGTAGCAGCCTAATTAAAAAATCATTCCCCACACAAACCAGCAGCAAACCCTACTAGCAGAAATGGGCTTCAAATAAAAAACATCAGCAACAGCACAAATCAACCACCATAGACTATATACTCCTTTTCACCAAGTAGAACCAGCATCATTAACGAAAACAGCATCAGTAGCCTATCTTCACCACATCATCTACACTTCTGTACTGAACAGCAGCAAACATACCTTGCAGCTTCACCACCAGCTCCCAAGCCTCACATCAGAGCCCAACTGAAAAACAAAAACAACCAGCAGCAACACCCTAGAGTCAAAACTCAACAGCAGCCATCTAGTGAACACATCTCCCATATGAAGAAACTCAGCCAATTTTACAAAACTAATTTTAGACATAAATTAACTTTTGGAGTAAATTGAAAAAAAATTGAAACATGAAGGATCAAAATGAAAAATAAATAAATAAATAAAATTTAAGGGTCAATAAATTATTAGGTTGACGTCAATAAATTATTATAACTTTAGTTAGATCCGTGAATATACAACACAATACTAATAAATTATATCTATGTGTGTGTTAGGTTTAATGTCAAAAAATTATTATAATAACTTTAGTTAGATCCCTGAATGGCTGTGATAAAGTATACAATACTAATCAAGCTCTACAATCTCAATGTAAATATGTTTCATGGTTAATGATTTTTAAAAACTTACGACCGCATTGTCCAATTTCAAATACTTATCATTGGATATATACTCTGCATACAACTACATGACATATACCAATTTTTTCCCAATATTACTATTTAAAACGTTGCTGCTTATATCAGTGCAATTACTAATTAAAAACAATAAGAAAAATTCTAGGTTCTATGATCAATTTCTGTACAAATCGAAAAACTGATTACAAACACTTCCTTGCTTGCAAAGGTTTTTAATAATTTCAGGGACAAGTTTACAAGTTTGGGAACTTCAAGAAGTCTTTATGTGAGGATACTAAGGGACTTCTTTCATTGTATGAAGCTTCATATCTTTTAATGGAGGATGAAAGTATATTGGAAGAAGCTAGAGATTTTACAGCTTCTCAAGGAATGGCTCAAGAAGGAAAGCATAGATCCAAATCTTGGCATGCTTGTGAGTCATGCTTTGGAGCTCCCATTACATTGGGCAATGCAAAGAATGAAGGTAACGTGGTTCATTGATGCATATGAGAGGAGATTGGACATGAATGCCATGTTGCTTGAGTTTGCCAAATTGGATTTCAACATGCTACAAGCAATTCACCAAGAAGACCTAAAACATGCATCAAGGTATGTATGCTTGGTTGTCTGCTGTATATGGAGGATGGGTGGGGGGCTGTACTTAGTGTGTGAAGTTCTTAGATAATCTGCAGTTAGTGTTGCCCTTTACCCAGAGATCCCCTGTTTTGCTGTTTGATTGAAGGCTTAGTTGAAGGTATACAGAGTGGTTGTCAAATGTTTCTGTGGTTTTGTGAAGGCCTCCTAGTACTCTTCAAATTTAGAACTACAGTTATGGCACAAACTTTTCATTACGGGCTCCCATTAGGCTGAAGTCTGATTGGGCTGTTGTAATCTGCATTGTAGTGCATTGCATTGCAGTGTTCTGGTAGCTGTGCTGCTTTGGTCTCTATGAGGCTTGGGCTGTAGTCTGCTCTAGATCTATGCTGCCTTGGTTTCTATTTTGCTGCAGTTTTTTTGGTTCGGTTTCGCTGCAGTTCTGTCTAGACCCAAGAAATTAAATATCCACATAGTGTAGTTAGTAGGAGGGAGTGGTAATGCTATTGTTGGCAGTGTTTTGGCTGGGGTAGTGTTGCTTGATGCATAGGAAGTGTTGGTCTGGTAGTGTTTTGGCTGCTGCATTGGTTGCTTTACTGAACTGGTTGGAGGCTGATTCTGGTTTGTGTGGCTGAAGTTGAATTGGTTTTGTGGATTTTGTGCTGCTTCTGATCTTTGGATTGAGTGGCTGAAGCTGAACGGGTTCTTGTGGAAGTCTGTGCTGTTTGGGCTGGAGTGGGTTGATGTTCTGAACTCTGAATTCTGTCTTGCTGGAGTGGGTTAATGTTCTGAACTCTGAATTCTGAGCTGGTATAGTTGAGGTTCTGAATCATGTTTTGGTATGAATTCAGGTGGGCTGGCTTGTGCAGAGGAGTGTAGATTCAGAACAAGGGGATGAGGTGTTAATGCTGTGTTTCTTCCCCTTTCTTCTCTTATTTTTCTTTTGGTTGGTTTCTCACCAACTGGCGCTTGGAGCTTTGTTTTAGCTCCAAGCTCCTCTTTATTGATGTTCTTTTCCATACTTTGTATGTTGCCATCAATAAAGATTTCTTTGCTGATAAAAAAAAAAAGGTAAAAGATCACTTCCATGAAATAGAATTAAACCATAGGAAAACGTTATTCCATTAGTTTCATTTGTATTATTACCAAATTGGTACAACTTATTACTCAATTTAATGTATTTTATTTTATCCAAAAATATTCTTTTTTTTTTAATGTTATATACAATTAGGATACCAAATGAGTCGAGTAATAGGTTGTTTCAATTTGGTTTGAAAATTTGACTTAAAATGTTTTTAAATTTGACTTGTTTATCCTATCTCAAAGCGAGTTTTAATTGAGCCGACAACAAACTGACCTCTAGTAATTTGATTTCATTTTATTTATGGTGCATATAAATTTTGGTTATTACGCTTTTCCCCTTTTATAGACATTTTTCCACTTTGGCCCTTAAAGCTTGTTTTTCTTATTTTGGCCCTTCATGTTTCAAACTTTTCTCACTTTACTTCTAAAGCTAACTTCTATTCAAAATTAGATTAAAAAAGGTCACAATAACTATCACATAATAAAAAATATATATTATTATATTGGAGTTTAAATTTATCTCAAAGGTGTTACTCATATATAATAAAATATTTTTATACCACGTGACTATTAATGTGTCATTTTATGTCTAAGTTTTAATAGGCCAAAGTGGAAAAAAAAAAAAAAAAAAAAACTTGAAGGGCCAAAGTGGGAAAGTGGTCAAACATAAAGGGAGCAAAGTGTAATTTACCATTTAAATTTATCGAGTTGAGCAGTAGGTTGTTTATTCTTGGTTTAAAAACTTAACGGGTTTCAAAATGTGTTCAAGTTTTGTTTGTTTACTTAATAAACTGATTTTAAATGAGTTTTTAATGAATTGAACACATGTCGAGTTTGAGTTTAAGTAACTTGATTCGTTTAATAGCTCTATACACAATTCTCAAACAAAATATGTGATAATGACATTTTTAAAATAATAAGTCACGTTTAAATGGTAAGACCAAAATTTGTTACATTATTATTATTTTATTAAATTATTTATTTATATATTATTATTGATTTTATCTTTCTACATACTTTATATAATAATTAATAGGTGGTGGGAAAGCACAGGTTGGGGGAAAAAGTTGCCCTTTGTTAGGGACAGGGTGGTGTAGAATTATTTATGGTCTCTGGGAGAGGCTTTTGAGCCTAAGTTCCAAAATTTTAGGAGCATGGAAACAAGGATCAATATATTGGCAACATGTGTTGATGATGTTTATGATGCTTATGGTACCATGGATGAACTCCAACTTTTCACCAATGCCACTGACAGGTTGTTACAAGTAGGGAATGTCAATCCTTCTTAATATTTGCTCTTAGGTGACTATGATTTTAAGTTTGAAAAAGTCTAATGGTATAAAAATCGATCATAAAATCAGACATAATTTTCTGACTCATAATAGATTTAGGTTCTGTTTGATTTTGTGATTAGTTTATACGTAAGTTGAAGTATTATTTAAGTTTCTAACATAATTTTGAAAACACTTATGTGTCTCAAATGAGATGTTAATGCAACAGAACAATTTCTGGACTTTTTAAACGTAATCTTCTCTCATATAAGGTAGATTTCACTTTTTTGTGAGTTTCCACACTTATATGAGAGAATTTATTTGATTCTATAATTAATTTTTGTGCAAGTAAAAAAATTATTTAAGTTTTTAACACAAAATTTTAAAAATAGTTTTGCATCTCAGATGGGATGTCAATGCAGCTGAACAACTTCCAGACTATATGAAGATATGCTTCCTTGGTTTATTCCATACCATTAATGAAATGGCTTATGCCACTCTTAAGGAACATGGCGTCCATATCCTCCCATACCTTAAAAATAAGGTACCCACATCCTTTTTTATATCTTATTTAAGCAAACTACCATATAATTACTTGATCACATTCAAACAAATGTTGTATATTAGCTTACTAAACCCATGCTCAATTTTATCAAGAAAAAAAAAAAGAAAAAGAAAAAGTGCTCAAATGTTTTTTTTCATTAGTCTATGAAATTTACTTCTTGTGTCAATTTGATTCTTATAGTTCTCATAGTATCAATTTTTTCTTGAAAATTTTCAAAGACTGTCAATTAAATCTAATTGATAATGTCCATTTGAAAAATAGAATGAAAAGGGACAAAATAGTTCATTCATTCTCTTCAAAGTGATTGAAGGGTTGTCATCTAATTTAAAATAATCTATTTCTTTTCGAATGGGTCATTTTGTCCTTTTTTTTTTCTTTTCAATTTCTTAATGGATGTTATTAATAAGACTAAATCGACACAATATAAAAAAAAATTGAAGAACAAAATCAATACAATTTAAATTACAGACCAAATTGACATGAGGAAAATATAAAGAATATAATTTGCGTTTTTTTTAAATGTTGTAGTGGCGAGATTTATGTGAATGCTACATGAAGGAAGCAAGATGGTCTTACAGTGGATGCATGCCAACACTTGAAGAGTACCTTGACCATGCATGGACTTCATCCTCTATTCCTACATTACTAACACATGCTTATTTTCTAAGTACAAATGCCATAACCAAAGAGGAGTTGGAATGCATAGAAAAGTGCGATGACATAATTAAGTGGTCATCAATGGTTGCAAGACTTGCAGATGATTTGGGAACATCATGGGTGTGTAAGCTAATTGGATTGGGCTTCTTTCTAGTTCCCTAATTGGACTAGAGGGTTTAATTTAGAGTAATTTTGGCCCGTTTTGAGTCCATCTTAATAATTTAAACTATTTAATTTTTAGTGTCTTTTGAGTAGATTATTAATGCAAAAAATCAAATTAATCAGATATTGTTAGCCATATGGTTGGATCACGTTTCCCTTTTAAAAAAAAAATATAAATGAAAAATATAATTTTGAGAATAGACAGTCCATTTTTTTAAAAGACAAATGTGATCCAAATATATTACTACTGATATCCGTTCGACTTGTTTATTGCATGGATGATCTACTCGGAAGGTATAAAAAAATAAGTGGTTCAGATCACCGAGATGCACCCGAAATGGGTCCAAATTGCCCTATATTGGATCCTCCAGTCCAATTAGAGCAATATATATCTCTTATATTGACCTAAGTACTTCATAAAGTTACTTGCAATTCCTTTTTCTTTACTAACACCTATTGATCGGCAATTTTTTTCTTGATTTATTTAGGATGAGGTAAAACGAGGTGACATTCCTAAATCAATCCAAATTTACATGCACGAAACTAATGTTTCTGCAGAAGATGCCAAAGAACACATAAACTATTTGATTAGTGAGGCATGGAAGAAGATCAATGAAGCTCATGTTGTGGACTCTTCTATCAATGGCACTTTTGTTGAGATTGTAACAAACATGGCTAGGGTTTCCCAATTCATGTACCAACATGGAGATGGCCATGGACATGATATTGGAGGGAAGAACAAAGAACGTGTCACTTCATTGCTCATTAAGCCCATTCCCCTTAAATAGATAGATCTTGCTTTAAGTTAAAGAATAAATTATAGTGGTATTTTTTTGTAAATCTATCTTCACATACTTATGTTTCACCTTAATCCAAATTGTTTTCTTATGGTCCAATAAATCCTATTGATGTTATAGTTACTAAAACACCCTTGGAGGTTATTGAGTTATTCAAACAATATCACCAACTTCACATTAGAACCAAAAAAAATGCTTCATATACTCTCCAAATTTCTTTGAAATTTCAAAATGACTCCGCCGATTTGCCTTCTATCATCTATGATTGGTGTCGCATTATTTGGTTTCTAAGTTGAATGCGTTTTGTCGCCGGCATCACATTATTATTAATTTAACTTTTAATACTTAAATTTAGCAAATTTAGAATTATAATGTTCACTATTTGTAGGGGTGTTGCATCGCTCGAGAGGTACCTTTGTGCGTTGAACAGTTCGGACCCTCGATTTTTTCGATCTAATCTCACGAGAGCAATGTGAAACGTTAACGAGAGTTCAGATTTGGCAACTTTTATAGAAAAACTATTTTATTGTAAAAAATCTTTGTCAGAAATGTACTACGTCATCAGATCTCAGAGTCATCACCTAATATTTTGAGAAAATTAGGAAATTCATGACTCGTGCCAAGGCCACTGTTCGTCGTAACCAAGGATGCTTGGCTCAAAACTTTAGGTATGAGGGGGGGGGGAAGATCATTAATTGATCACTCCCCGCTCACCCGATCAAAAGATCGGCCTCTACTAAATCATGATATGATTTTTATTTACTTTATATGTTCATATTCTGATTATTTAATAAATCCTAAAATTTACTACGTGAAGCAAGCAAGTATAGACTATGTCATTCATTTTGGAATAATCTGATTTCATATATTTTGAAAGAGTTTTGAAGATGTACAACTTAAAGAAATTGAGTTTACAAATATGAAAATCAATATTATTCTAAATTAAGCGACACAACCTCCATCCACCAGCATTCATACAATTATAACAAGAAAACAAGTAGCCACATGGTAAAATGCTAAACATAGTAAGGGAAATATATACAAGCAGGATGCTAAAGCATAAAAACTTACATTTTTACTGACAACCCGCGAACAACTACAAAACAAAGTTAGTAAAACATGCATGATCTTATATACAAAATACTAATGCAATTCACTCATGAGATACAACTAAAGATTCAGTTTCTAATATATGACATGTGAATCATCTCAAGAACATGAGATAGCACATATAATCACATAAGAATTGATTATATCCAAAGAAGCAAACTTAGCTGAATCGTGATACATGAAACATGGATTCAAAACATGGATATGATGAAAATTAAAATATGACATTTATGTACAAATAAAGAAAACAAGTAAAAGAACGAGATAAAGAGAAGCGGGCGGGGAATTATTACATAACTTGAATAATTACAAATCCGAATAAGGGAGGTGTAACGATTCATAATTTTTTCCTTCGCTCGAGCGGGGAAGTTGACACTCGAGCGGACTTGAGAGGTTCTCAGTATTTTTGTAGACGGTCTGAAATTATGAGAGTTATGAATTCCTGCTCGAGCGTAGGAGTGGTCGCTCGAGTGGATAGCTTGGTTGGTCCACGAGCTCGAGCATGGAAAGCGACACACGAGCGTAGAAAATGAGATTGCCCTTGACATTTTTTTTAGTGTATTTGAAACCTCCTTGTTTTATTTTGGGACATTGATTGAAGTGGTATCATGAAGGTAATGTAAGAGTGAACCGAGAATTTAATTCGGATAACTTTTCCTACGAACAACCATCACTCTTTTGCCCTTTTCTTTTTCCACACTTTGAATTTGGATGTGAGACTAGAACCATTGGAAAGCTTATTTCCGGGGCTTCGATTTGGACACAAGAACGACCTAGAACGGAATCCAGAGAGAGTTATGCCCATTTGAAGTTTTGGAATCTGTGCTGGAAGCAGGTCCACTCGAGCGGATTGCGCGAATTCAGCAGCTTAAAATGCGATTTTTTAGCTCATTCTTTGCATTTTCCTTTTCTTTCTTCATTCCTCTCACCCTAGGTCCGAAAACCCTAGGTTTTGACCCTAAATACCTTCCATTTCTCTAAGATTTGGCCAAGATCCCTTGCCAAAAAGTGAAGAAGGCTTGAAGCTCAGCATTTTCTACCAATTGGAATTCGGATTTGTGAAGGAATCTCATCAAAGCTTTGCTTTTTTCTTGATTCCTGAGGTAGGGGTCCTAGTTCTTCTTCAATACTTGCATTAATAGATAGATTTATGGTATTTTGATTATATAAATACAAAATCTCCATTTTTGAGCATATAGTGTTATATCATGAAATTTGAGGGTTTATGGTTTGAAATGTTGGGGGTTCAATTGTTGGGTTAATATGGTGGATTATGAACCTTAGGTGTGTAATCAAGGGAAAAATTAGAATTAAAAGTAATGGTGAGAGAAGTTTTAATTTTTCTTGAAAATCTTGATTTTTCTTGATAACCCTAGGTTGATTCATGATGATAATTAATGATTTTGCCCAAATTGAAAGTAGAATCATGAAATTGAAAGGTTGAATTGTATATATACAAGTTTAATTGGATTTTGGATGTGTTTGAAAATTATGTTAAAAATTAGCGATTGAACCTTTGTTATGGATATTGTAAATTATGCAATAATGTGAAATGAAAATTAGGGAAATGATTAATTAATGATATGGATGACATGAGCCTTGGGGTGAAATGATGAAATAAAGGTTTAAGAATTCACCATGAATTATGTTGAATTGTGTTGATTATGTTGAAAATTGTTGATTATGTTGAGTTGTGTTGAATAATGTTGAACCGAATTGTGTTGGACTATGATGAATTGTGTTCGAATCATGTTGAATTGTGTTGAGTTGAGTTGTGTTGGGTGTGTTGAGTTTGAGTTGTTTTGTGTTGGGTCATGTTGAGTTTGAGATGAGTTGTGTTGGGTGGTGTTGTGTTGGTACCCGCAGGGAGAGTTGAAAGATGATACGGAATTTGTGATAAGATGATGAAGTAAAGATTTAAGAATTTTATTGTGTAATTAGAAAGTGATTTTATAGCTCAAAACTAAAAGCCCAACTTTCTATTTAACTCTAGTTATGAGGTTTTATTTTGGAAAATGAGGATACTTCAATCAACATTAAATTTATGAAATTAAGTCTATATTGGGTTAAGATAAGTGTGAATAATGATAAATGGGAGATTGTGAAATATGACGATGTTATATAAAGGAGTTGTATCAAAGAAATTAAATATTGGAGATTTAATTTATAACCTTGGGTAGTAATTGATAACCAATGTGTTTTAAAAATTGAATTTGAAGACTTGATAATAATATGGAAAAGTAAAGAAATAGTTTGAACCCAAGAATTGTGAACACTTTAAAGATGAATCTTTGCCTCTATGGATGTGTTGTTATATTTTTGTGTGACAAAACAATGAATAATTTAATGGATAATGAAGAAGGTCGTGGAACATATTTGTACTTGTTATGTGAATGAAATTTTAATATATGGTGGATGTATATTGAACTAATGTGTTACAGAAATAATGGAAGATGTGTTGGCATTGCCTACTAATTGTAATGATGGATTGTGATGTTATCTTGGGGTCCGTTCCCACCATATTTTGAGCCGGCAAAATGTGGCGCTTGAGATATGTAACGCCCTCAAAAAAAACCCATTATATATCATTGACATGCATTATTTAAAGAAGACAATTTATTAATTCATTCATCAGAGTATTACTAAATAAAGCATTACATGTAACATCGAACAAAATGCCCTACAGGCTTACATCTTTCCAAGCCAACACTTGGATTCAAAAAATATGAGTTCTAATCTCAATACAAGAAAAGCCCTAGGCTTGAATGTTTACATGAACTAATAAATAAAAACTATTAACTAAAGGTAGTCTTCTTCAATCCAGAAGCCAAACCCTCCCAAGCTAAGTCCTTGGAGGTAGTTTATCACCTGAACCTGAAAATGATGTTCCCATAAAGGGTGAGCCACAGCCCAGTAGAAATATACTAAACCACATATAAGCAATGAATAAAGCAATAGCATTCAACAGATGGTCAACCAAGATAATCAATTACTTCATTTTACAGCCTCAAGACACTATTGTCTAACGATAACAACCAGTCCATACCTAATATAGAATCAAAAATCGACATGTTAATTAACACAAATGCAAAAGAAAGTCGGTGACTGGCAACCTCTATGTCACAACCTCGACACCGCTGCTCCAAGACAATCTCACCACCAATAGATGACTCTACATTGAGAGAAGATATTAACCGAGTCAATTCTAACCCCAAAGCCGATGCAAATGCAGATGAGATAAATGAATGGGATGCACTCATATTAATCAACACATTAGCAATAGAATTACATAACAAGAAAGTACCTCTCACAATTGAAGGTGCTGGTCCTAGGTCTAGTGCGGCAATGACATACACATGCCTTGAAGGTCTCTGCTCTACCTGCTCACCCCTCAGAGCATAAGCCTAATGTACTGATTGAGCCAAAGAAGCTCTCTGATTGGCCCTTGAGGCTTGAACTGACTGTGCAGGCTAGTAGCTCTGTGTCTGTCTTGAACCAGACATACTAGGTATGTCGCCTAACTGAGGGCAAAACCTCTTTATGTGCCCTGCTGCCCACTTTGATAATAAGTGTGTGGCTGCTCTCTCCTCTAACTCTGGCTCTGGGAACAAATCAAGGAAGATGTAGATCGCTGCCCTCCTCCTCTCCGCAGGCAAGCTGGAGACTTGTGGCCCAATTGACCACACTTAAAACAAGTAAAATCTCCCTGACCACCTCTCCCAGAACCCGAACTTAGTACCGGAACGGTGGACCTTGATTGAGCTCCTTAGGACTGCTATGGGTTAGAACCCCTCTGCCTTTTACTATCTCCCTAAACATCCTGACACCTCCTGGAGTCCCTCATCCGTTCCTCCTCCATTTGCATCACGGTCTTAAGATGA